TGTGTGTGTGTGTGTGTGCGTGTGTGTGTGTGTAAAACTGACACAAAGTCTTTAAAATGAGTCATTATAAAGTAAAAAAGTTTAATTTTAAAACAAGGAAAAACAAAGCTTGAATTGAAAGTGTCCTCTGTAGACAAACAAAGGTTTCTTTAAGACACATTTGAGTCACAGACAGTAATAAACACGTTATAAACACATCCGTTCTGCTCTTTTCTGTCCACCAGGTGTTTTTTGTATCGGACCTGTTCAAGCCCAGGATGGCGCTGACCACCCCCCCRCCCTCCCCCATCAAGAAGGAGCTGCTGCCCTCATCAGACATCATCGAGAGGAACAACCACCACAACCTGGTGTGAGGGACGTCCCGCCTCCTTCCTGTGACTGAGCAGCCAATCACAGCAGCCCTCAGCCCCATCAGACAGTAGAATGTAGCGACAAGAGACTGTAGCTCCTCCTCCTCCTCCTCGGAGGGTCAGGATGTCACACAGCAGACTCTCTCCACCATTCAGACTTTATTACTTTCTAATAACTACTAATCAGCATTTGAGCCCATGTGTTTGAGCCCAGTCAGGAAATAAACTGAAGAGCTAAAAGAGAAATGAGGGAAGCAGGAGGCGTGGCAGGCACAGCTGCAGGTAGAAAAGAGGAAAACAAATGAAATGTAAGGCCAAACAAAAAGCAAGCAGCTGCCTGAGGGAGAGGACACTTCCTGTCTGAACTCTGTGGCCTTGGAGCGCCGCAGGACAACAACTTCCCTCACCGAGGGAAGGATCTGACTGCAGTAATAACAGCATCACATTATTAGCATGATGAAAACATGTAACTAACTTATAGCACTGTTTTTTACTTTATTGTCCTTTATCACCACTCGCTGCCTGGCAGGTCTGACTGAAAAACCCTGACATTTCTGCCCACCTGACTCAGAAAGGTGAGGCAGAGCAGAGCTGAGACAGCTTCAGGACACAGTCCTGAGCCCTGCAGACACTGCTGAGTCAGCGTTTTTACAGCAGGCTGTCAGTGCAGCCTAAACCTGGGATGTTGCAGTTATCGAGGTTAGTGACGGGTGAAGGTGGGGTGTCATCTTTGGACAAACCAGGAGGCGGACCACCCGGCACCTGAACAGGGAGGTGTGGCTGTGCCACGCCTCCAACAGGAGCTGGAGCCTCTGGAGTTTCTGCTGAGCTGGCACATTTTTTACATGATTTGAGCTCTTTCTGCTGGCAGGGAGGGGCTCTCCCCCACACAATCCCTCATTGGCAATGGATACGTGTCTCTCAATGTGCACGTTGTGTGTCTGTGTGTGTGTGTGCAATTTAATGTTGTGTAGCAGCGCTGTGCCCTGTGAACAGGAAGCCCCTCGTGATGAGCTGTTTGTTACAAATGAGACACATACCATCAGTTGTGCCATGGGTGTGTGTGTGTGTGTGTGTGTGTGTGTGTGTGTGTGTGTGTGTGTG